TTGGAGGCTGCACTGATGATGTTACCCAGCATGGTAACAAAACGTCTGCGGAACAACAAACCAGCTCGGCGAGCCAACCAACCACAACATCCACAACCCGAGCTACAAATCTACTCTACAAACTTAGAAATAAATTAATTTATTTGAGCATTTAGCAAAAATGAGTTGCTGACCTTGAAGACTTTTCCCAAGATTTAGGATGTGAGAAGTAGCACCTATGTTGTTTTCAGATCTCATTCAATTATTCCAATTAAGAGAAAGACTTTCCAATTCCTAAAATACAAATCAATGCATAACCCAAGGTTTATGTGATGCATTCATCCATCAGAATTGTCCACTTGCAGAGTTACTCAGGGAAGTAAATCTCATCAGTGGATGATTATTGATTAGTGAGGCATACCCGATCTCGCAGCCCAAACAGCAATGGAGCTTTGCTGCAAGGAAAATGCCTCCAATAGACTAGTGATGAAAGATCATTAGATCATGTGAAGGACATTTCCATCAACTTGACAGGTTCTCTGTAGCATTCTCCAGCTTACTGCAACTTGATGTGTCCTGATTCTTCGCCATCCAAAGAGACATGGATGTAGACATTGCCAGGGAAATGGCTAGAGCTGCCTTGAAACAGGGTGATAGGGCAGACAGCCAAAATGACAATCACTCTGAAGAATGTTCAGTGACTGTCGAGAAGAGCATCAGAGGACAACTGATAATTGAAATTTTCATCTCTATTTAATACAGTCACCATTCCTCTAAACCTCTTTCGCCTCTCGCCTCCAAAGATCAATCCTTTAATCCACTGCCCAACTTGGAACTTAAATACTCTAGGTCCCTTCACCGCAATGCTAGCCAATCAATCATAAGAGTAGAGTTTTGTTGTGGTAAAGACAGCACTGTCACCTTTCCAACCAGTTTAGAGCAGTGGCTCTTCCCAGTTATTGTGTAGTAACATAGGAACCTGTACCATAAACTTGTAAACAACCTCCAAAGCTCCATAAAAATAACTAGGCTCTGCAACAGGTGCTTAAGGCCAACCACAGATAAAGTTTTAAACTGAAGAGCCTCAGTGGAATTTGTAAAAAGAAAGTCAAAAATGATCATTCTGAGCCATTCTTTATGTTATTCTCAAGCACTAGCAATTCTACAAATATAGTTAAGGAATGCCCTGGACAATATTATTTCGATTTAGTAAGTTACCATTTATAAGTTTCTGTTAACGATTTGATTATATTTTGCTATAGTGCCCCTGCTTCCACCCTAAACATATTAAAGAAGCCATCCCCTATGGACAAGTCCTGCGCATACACAGGATCTGCTCAGATGAGGAGAAAGTCGCCTGAAGATTGTGAAGGACACACTCATAAGAATAGGATACGATGCTCAACTCATCAATTGCCAGTTCTGATATGCCACAATGAAAAATCGCAACAACCTCCTAAGAAGAGGACACAGGATACCACCGATAGAGTACCCTTCCTCGCCCAGTAATTCTCTACAGCAGAGATACTATGCCATCTTCTTTGTAGCCTTCAACATGTCATCAACGACAATGAGCTTATTGCCAAAATTTTCCCCACGCCTCCACTTCTCGCCTTCAAACAACTACCAAACCTTAAACAGACTATTGTTCGCAGCAAACTACCCCTCCTTCAGGGCAATATTGACCACAACCGTGCCATGGCAACCTCTGCAAAACATGTCAGTTTGTCGACATGGACACTACCATCTCATGTGGGAACACCACCCACCACGTACATGGCAAATACTCATGTGACTCAGCCAATGTTGTCTATCTCATACGTTGAAGGCAAAGATGCCCCGAGGCATGGTACATTGGCGAAACCGTGCAGACGTTTTGACAATGGATGAATGGACACCCATTCAACAATTGTCAGACAGGAATGTTCCCTCTCAGCTGGGGAACACTTCAGCGGTCAAGGGAATTCAGCTACTGATCATCAGGTAAGTGTCCTCCAAGGCAGACTTCAAGATACACAACAACGCACAATCACCGAGCAGAGACTGATAGCCAAGTTACAGAGAGCCTCAGCTTTGATCTTAGGTTCATGTCGCACTACAGATGACCACACCATACTGTTCTGTATCTGTGAAATCTTCCTTACTGTCCTGTTTTGACAACATCACCTCAATAAATTGTTATGATCTCTCTACCTTAATTAGTTTGTACATATTTGAATTCAGCATGCGATTCCAGTCATTTAGTTTGTCTCGAGCACCACCTTATTTTAATATTTTGTAATTATCTCTCTGCCCCATTAAATCAGATTATAGGTCATCCTTATGCTGGTTATTCAGCTGTTGACACGTTACTCACCATCTAACACTCTTGGTCACCTGCAGAGACTTATCATCTGATACTCCACTCACACCAGTTGTAATGTCTTTTGATCTCTCTGCCCTTGATCTCTTTTTACCTATAAACTCTGGGTCTGTGTGCTTGGCTCTCGTTGGACCTGACAAAAGAACAGTGCTCCAAAAGCTTGTGAGATTCCAAATAAACCTCTTGGACTATAACATGGCGTTGTGTGACTTCTGATTTTGTCTACCCAGTCCAACACCAGCACCTACACATTCAGGTTTGTTCTAAGACAGTAGTTTCAGGATTGCTCAAATAAAGCTTTCAAATTAATCTACATCAGGGAACATTGTTCTTTTACCTCAGGTAAACAACTGGAGACCGTCATGAATAAGTTCACATTTGACAACAGCCTGGCATCACAGAAAATACTTTTGGAGGAGCATAAAATGTTCTTTTAAATTGCTTTAACTGATTGTTTGCTACATGTAACTTGTTAAGGAACTAGTACCAAATAATTCTTACAACTCTCAAATATTATTAAACCTTTCTTCCTCGAGTTTGTACGGAAACAGTTGTGGACAAAATAAAACTAAAAATTTCTGAAAATCGTAAATCCTATGTTTTAACCAAACTGTCTGGATCTGAGATAACAAGGCGTAGAGCTGGATGAACACAGCAGGCCAAGCAGCATCAGAGGAGCAGGAAGGCTGACGTTTCGGGCCTAGACCCTTCTCAGAAATGGGGAAGGGGAAGGGGGTTCTGAAATAAATAGGGAGAGAGGGGGAGGCGGATAGAAGATGGATAGAGGAGAAGATAGGAGGAGAGGAGACAGACAGGTCAAAGAGGTGGGGATGGAGCCAGTAAAGTTGAGTGTAGGTGGGGAGTTAGGGAGGGGATAGGTCAGTCCAGGGAGGACGGACAGGTCAAGGGGGCTGGATGAGGTTAGTAGGTAGGAGATGGGGGTGGGGCTTGAGGTGGGAGGAGGGGATAGGTGGGAGGAAGGAAAGGTTAGGGAAGCGGGGACGAGCTGGGCTGGTTTTGGGATGTGGTAGAGGGAGGGGAGATTTTGAAGCTTGTGAAGTCCATATTGATACCATTGGGCTGCAGGGTTCCCAAGCGGAATATGAGGTGCTGGTAGTCTCTGGTCCCAGCTTTAAATTTAAAGGAATCCTATGTTCCTATCCATTTCATTTGTAACAATTGATCTGATAATTTCCAATTCCTCCAGTTCAATATTGGCCAAATGGAAGACTATTCTCTTTGGCCTTTCCCATACTAAACCCATTGGCTGCCTCTTCAGGCTAGGCTAAAAATATATAAAATCCTGTTACATTTCACTATATGAACTCAGGTCTCTCATTATTCCTCCTCAAACCATAATATGATCTGTAGTAAAATCAACCTCTTCCAACTCTCAAATATGTCCATCTTGGTCACTCTGCTGGCACTTTATATTGCTACATTACAGTTCTATAGTACTATTCCCTCTGGATTTGATTTTTCAACAAAACTCTCTCACCAGCTTTCTTGCATCTATTACAACTCATACAGAATGCTGTAGCCCATGTTCCGAGCTGTGCATTCAGCACTTCTGTATTCACGCTGCTCTCGTTAATAAACGTAAGTTCCTCTCTGTTGATACTCTGCCCAAATTCAGTTGTCTACTGCACCCTTATTCTGTCTGGCTTATGGCTCCTGCATTGGCCCACTCTGCATTTCCAATTGCAGCGCCCTTTGATCGTTGGCAGCTGTACACTCAGACACTAAGCCATCATCTTCCTCAATTTGCCCCCTGAACACATCCGCTTGTCGTCTCTTTTTTTACTTTAAAAATCAACTTAAAAATACATCTTCCAGGCAATGCTGTCAATAATCCAACCTTTTCCTTCTTTTCCTTTTTATCCAAACTATTGGAGAGCACTGAGAAGTCATTTTGTCACACAAATTGCTCCCAAAAAATGACCTGTTGGTTGAAATTATGAACACTTGATGTGAACAATACTAACAGGTAAATTAAATGCAATAAAATAAGAACAATTAACCAAAGTTTTTGGAATAATTCAATAGTAATGCTGACAGTTGATTGACACATTTAAAAAGCTAAATACTCCATTGCTAAAAACTTAGGAGAAGATACTGGAGGGTTTGATATGATAAATTTGAGATTTTTCACAAAGGTATTTGAGCAAGGATGGGATCAAGGTACTGACGATGCAAGTTCCACATAGATGTAACCCTGCATTTCCCATTGCTAATCACCTAGCCTGCACACCAAGGGCAATTTAGCATGGCCAATCCACCTAACCTGCGCATCTTTGTGACTGTGGGAGGAAACCCAAGCAGATATGGGGAGAACATCCAAACTCCACACAGATAATTGCCTGAGGCTGGAATCAAACCTCTGGGTCCCTGACACTTAACCACCAAGTCTTCCGATCACCAGGGCCTCTCTCCATATCCCAAGTCCTGTCGCTTCTTGAGCGGATTTCGGCCTCCCCTGCATCCTCAGGACCTTCATATCAGTGCAGAATGAATGTACCACAGGGTGGAGAATGGGAAAAGATATCTTGGAATAGTTAAAAGTGAAAACGAGGGAAGAACATCTTGGAAAAAAGAAAGAAGGATACATTAAATTACAAAGAGTAAGCAAGTGAGAAATAATTTAATCAGGTTTACTTACCACTCTTCTTATAGAAGATCAGTTCAGTCTTGAACTCACGTTTCTCATCCAGCGCTTTTTGGATCTGAATTTTCATGGCTTCATTCGTTTCTACGCCATAGAGAAACTTACAAGCACAGCTCTTCTGCATGAGTTCAGCTCGTGCATAGCCAGTCAGCTCGCAGAATCCATCGGAGCAGTATACAATTGGATACACGTTCAATACCTGAGCATTTCCCAGAACAAAGTTGCTGTCTGTTGAATTGAAAACAATATATCGATTTGACTCCTTTGTCAAGTTGTCACTTCCACCAATAATGAACAAAAATGTTTTGATAAGCAATGGAAAACAACTCACATGAATATTAAATGTGAAGAATATCATTTAAAAAAAAACTTAGAAACGTGTTTGATTCTAAACCGCTAATATTGTAATAAATTGCTGGGAAAATGCATAAAATTAAAAACTGGGTGGATTTTTCAGCATTGAACTAAACATTGGATATGGACATAGCAAAGGCACCCCTATTCAGCGAAGCATTACAAACTGTCCTCACTAACCTCTGGGCACCCATACCAAAAATATGAGATGTGTCCCTAAGAATAACCAAACATCGGCCTGGCAGAGGCATATTCACAGAATCATATATTTCAGACAATGTATCATGGTACTTCCTCTATGAATGTCCAGGTCCACCAGCGGTCAGGAGGGAGTAAACCTAGGAATCCATAACACTGACTCTAAACCCAGTAAGATCTCATAATATTACATCAAACATGAGCAAGGGAGCCTGCTTATCATCAGCTGAGGGAAAGATATATTGAAATCCACCGAGCATGTCCTCTGGATGGAAAGCTTTAATATTAATCACCAAAAGGGTCTCAGTTTGGGCCAGAGTAGGCATGCATCAGGTGATGAGAGAACGAATACAAAGGAAAAATGTACTTGCCCTCACTGATCTACCTTTGTAGGTGCATCTGTCTGTAACAGTATGGGTGTGAGTTACCTAGCACACAATCAGGGAGAAAAAAATCCCATTCTCTCACTGACGATACCCTCCAGTACATTGTTTAGAATTACAACTGTGTCAAGTGATTGAAATTGATAATTAAGGTCAAAAAAAGCATCTCAAAACCAGACATCTATGAGGTACCATGGGCCATTATAGCAGCAAAACTTACTCCACCACAATCATTAACCTCATAGCCTGGAATAGCCCTTAATCCATCATTACTATGAAGCCAGGGGATCTACTCTGATTCAATGTAGAGCACAGAAATGTCAGCCGAGGACAGTACAAATTGCATCTAAAAATGGAGGTGCCAACCTGGTGAAGCTCCAATACACCGCTACGTGCACATGGCGCTATGACTGCTAGGCGATCCCATAATCAATAAATCACATCAAAACACCACAGTGTCATCAAATCCTGTTGTGAGGTGATGTGCAATGAAACAATGGAGGACGTGGCTCCATGAATAAACCAACCCTAAATGCTGGCAGACCCTGAATGTGATCATGGGAAAGGTACAACCACCTTTAGCCAGAAGTAGTTGATCCAACTCAGCCCACTCCTATGGCTCCATCATTACGAAAGCTAGTCTTCAGCCAATTCTGTTCACTTCATATGAAAGCTAATAATGGCCGAGGACACTGGATACAGAAAAGGCTACAGGCCTAACAACATCCTGGCTGAAATGATGGAGACTGGAGACTTGTCATTTACTGAAAGTAACCAAGTCTCTAGTCAATCTGTTCCTGAACAGCTATATCTCTGGCATCTACTCAACAAAGTGTGAAGTTTCCCAAGCAATCCTATCCCAACAAATTTAATCTCCCCAATTACTGCCCCTTCGGTTTACTCTTGCTCATCAGCAAAGTGATAGAAAGTGTTATCGATAGTGCTATGAAGTGGCATTTACGCATCACTAACCTGCTCACCAATGCTTGGTTTGGGCTCTGTCAAGGCATTTTAGCTCATGATCTCATTACAGTTTTTGTTTAAAAATGGTGAAAAGAACTGAAATCTCCAGAGCTGAGGTGACTGCAACTGTCCTTGACACCAAGGCAACATTTGACCAAGTACAGCACTGAGGAACCCAATTAAAACTTAAGTCAATGGGAATAAGGAGGAAAGCTCTCCACTGGTTAGAATCATACTTGGCACAAAGGAAAATGGTTGTGGTCATTGAAGGGCAATCAGGATGTCTCTGCAGGAGTTCCCTTGGGTAGAGTCTTAGGTCTAATCATCTTTAGTTGTTTCATCAATTGTCTTTCTTTCAATATAAGATCAGAAATGGGGATTTGCTGATGACTACACAGTGTTCCACCTGCAACTTTTCTGATACTTAAGCACCCGCATAACTGAAAAGAAGATTGATACAAAATTCAGGCTTGGCCTGTTAAGTGGCAAATAGCATTCAGACCACAGTAAAGCCAAGTAATGACCATTTCCAATGCAAGAGAGTTGAAGAACCTTCCCTTGACATTCAACAACATCATCGTCGTCAATTTTCCACCAGCTGATTGCTGGGTATTGCATAACCAGAAATGTAATTGGACCAGCCGCATGAACACCATGGATAATAATAGGTCAGAGGTGGTCTACTGTGCAGGAAGTAACTCACCTCCCCAGAATGTTTCCATCATATGCAAGGTATTAGCCATCAGGAAGGAGGAAAGTTACATGGAAACTTTGTTCCAGGAGTCAATTACACTTCTTAGGCTAGTTACTTCAGACTTGACCTGTAGTGAAGCAGATTGGACTACATTTTATGAGAGATCAAGTAAGTGCCTATTTTGGCAAGTTTCATTGGAAGGTTTCTCCCTATGAGATGTATTGAGTTTTCTCACCCTGTCTTCACAAACTCACCTCATTACCTATGTACCATGCTTCTATGGGGCCACGCTCATTGTATTCTCCCACTTGCACTAAGCACTATTGCACGGACATCCTGGGATTTCTGATGCTGACACCATATTTAAAATGCAGTTGTGCACTCAGTCAGGTGCTCACAGTTGGAACTGCACTGCATGATTCCTGGCAATTGCTCCAGACAGTTCAGGTGAAGGAAAATTATCTCTCCTCTTTGCAAACAAGGACCTGATGGATGGGAGGTGCAGACAAAGGCAGTCTTTTCCTTCAGGACTGGCAGAGGAGATGGCAACACCCTACCAGCAACTCAATACATTGTAGATAGTCTGGAGAAACAGCCAGCAATACCACAAGAACATCAATGACCTTCTCCCCTTTGTGAGGGTAAGTGTCAACACTTCCCTGCTACCTCACACTGCCCCTCTGATTCTGCAGACACCTCCCACCAAGGCTCATGACCTATCACTCTCACTACTGCTTGCAGAGCCTTCCCTCATTCAGCCCTACTTTTGTCTTACTCAATACCTCCTTTTGTCTCATTTCAGAACATAATGGCCCAACGTGGAGTTGAGAGAGCTGGAAGGGGTGGCCAGGTGCTTGACATTCAGCTCCTCATCCCCTACGATGCTGGCCAGTGAGGATGTGACTATTTATGTGCTAATACCAAAACCTTCATGTTACATAAGAACATAAGAACATAAGAACTAGGAGCAGGAGTAGGCCATCCGGCCCCTCGAGCCTGCCCCGCCATTTAATAAGATCATGGCTGATCTTTTTGAGACTCAGCTCCACTTACCCGCCCACTCACCATAACCCTTAATTCCTTTACTGTTCAAAAATTTATCTAGCCTTGCCTTAAAGACATTCAGCGAGGTAGCTTCAACCGCTTCACTGGGCAGGGAATTCCACAGATTCACAACCCTTTGGGTGAAGAAGTTCCTCCTGACCTCAGTCCTACATCTGCTTCCCTTTATTTTGAGGCGATGTCCTCTCGTCCTAGTTTCACCTGCTAACGGAAACAACCTCCCTGCCTCCACCTCATCTATTCCCTTCATAATCTTATATGTTTCTATAAGATCTCCCCTCATTCTTCTGAATTCCAATAAGTATAATCCCAGCCTACTCAGTCTCTCCTCATAATCCAACCCTCTCAACTCTGGAATCAACCGAGTGAATCTCTTCTGCGCCCCCTCCAGTGCTAGTATATCCCTTCTCAAGTAAGGAGACCAAAACTGCACACAGTATTCCAGGTGTAGCCTCACCAGGACCCAATACAGCTGCAGCATAGCCTCCCTGTTTTTAAACTCCATCCCTCTAGCAAAGGCAGACAAAATTCCATTTGCCTTTTTAATTACCTGCTGCACCTGCAATCCTACTTTTAGCGATTTATGCACAAGGACACCCAAGTCCCTCTGCACAGCAGCGTGCTGCAATTTTTTTACCATTTAAAACATAGTCCATTTTGCTGTTATTCCTACCAAAATGATTCATGTTGTGGCAACCAAGCAAGAAGCATAGCCCATTCCCATGCTTCTCCCCCATTACCACCACCATAAATGTACTCTTAAAATGCTCCAGCAATTCGTTGGAAAATGGAACATTTTGCTCTCAACATCAAGAAGCTCATTTCCCCATATTGCACAATTTTCTTGCCAATGTCCACTTTGTTCAGCATCTTTTGAGATTTTGCCCGTTGTGTCTGTGAGTAAAGCAAGTATGGAGATCTCCAGAATAGCAATGGGGAAGCCTCAGCCCCCACTATTTGTCGAACTGGCTCAATATTCTTGCAGCTTCTGTGGATAAAAGCTGGGAGTGCAAGGAGGATGAAAAATGTATCTCCTTCACTTATTGTTCCATTTTGTAGCTGTTGTACACTGACTTAAGTGATGCGTAGAATTACACTTGCTCATTATCATTGTAGAGGGAATTTAGGAAATTCTGAACATCTCAATGAAAAACACTACTATTGTTCTGTGGAAACTAATCTACCACTGAAAAGATCATCATGAACCCATTCACTAAATCTCATTCAACTTCTACATCACTTGCTGAAACAATTGTGTAAGTGATTTCAAAGTGCTGTAGAGTACATAAGTCATTTAAAGCTGCTTTAACAAATACAATGATGGATTCAAATACAAGAAATTATATCACAGTGGCTCAGTGGTTAGCACTGCTGCCTCACAGTGTCAGGGACCCAGGTTTGATTCCAGCCTTCAATGACTGTCTGCATGAAGTTTGTACATTCTCCCCGTGTCTGCGTGGGTTTCCTTCGGGTTATCTGGTTTCCTTCGGGTTCTCTGGTTTCCTCCCGCAGTCCGAAGATGTGCAGGTTAGGTGGATCGGCTATGTTAAATTGCCCATAGTGTCCAGGGATGT